CACAGATACCAAAGTGGTTCTTCTTTTTCCTTTTGTTCAATTGCTAGATAGGCAAGTATGTTGTTTAGCTGCTTCTATTTCTCACCTCAGTTGAAATGTTCCTTGTCTGTAGCAATTATGAAGGACAATCTTGATGTCTTGATGAAAATCTTAAAACCTTTCTCAACTTAATGGATATTTTAAATAGCAAATGTCCTAGTTCAGTTTGTCTTTCATTGTGAAATGTTGAGTAAAACACTAAAGTCATCCTTGTCTGCATTGACCTCCAATTTTCCTGGCAATAAATGTGAAATATTGCTTAGCCATTTTGGTTCACCGTTCATGAAATAATGTTCTGGATTAATTTCTACAAAATTTAAATTGTACCAGTCTTCACTTTTTCTGATTTTTAACCCAATCTTTACAGTAACTGTTGCTATGAAATATATTTTAAAAACCAAGTAGGCTTTATTCAACATTACCACTAAGAGTATTGAGATTTCTTGTCGTTTTATTCTTCTCTCTTCATTTCTTAGTCTACTTGTCAAACTTTAAAAGAGAGAATGAGGGGCCCGGGGATTTAGCTCAGTGGTTCTGCTGCCTGCCTCACAAGCGCAAGGACCCAAGTTCGATCCCCAGCCCCCCCCCGCAAAAAAAGAGAGAGAGAATGAATATTAAATTACAAAACAGGAACACAGGATTAAGCAAGACTTTTCAGCTATACATCTGCTGCAGGACAATAGAACTAGTTCTCTATACAATCATAACCCATCAGCTTGGACAACCAGTAGCAGATCTTACTGTTTTAATGCTAAAAAGGAATATTGGATAAAAACATCCACTAGGGTTTTTTTTATTGTGGCAAAATATATAGCTAGCATAATATTAAGCACTTTAATCATTTATAAGTGTACAATGCAGTGGCATTAAGTGCATTCACAATGTAGTTTAACTACTGCTTCAACCTGTACCCAGAACCTTTTCACTGTCCATATATAAACTCTGCATCCACTGACAACAGTAACTCTGTTCCTTGATTCCCAGTGCCTGCCTGTGTTGGTCTCTGTGAGTTTGCCTTTTCTAGCTACTTCATATAAGTGGAATCACATAGTATTCATCTTTCTGTGTCTGGGTTACTTCACCTGGCTTAAGGTTTTCAAGGACTATCATGTTGTAGGAAATACTGAAATTGCATTTCTCTCTAAGGCTGGATAATATTCAATTGCATGCATGTATCATACTTTGTGTGGCCATTCATTTGTTGGCAGATTCTTTGGCTGCTTCTAACTTTTGGCTATTGTGAATAAAACTCCTGTACATATAGGTTGCAAATCCATGTTCAAGTGTCTGCTTTTAATTTTTTTGGATCCATGCCTAGCAGTGGACTTGCTCAGCCATAGAGAACTCACTAGGATTCTTCAACTAAGGTTAAAGTCCTGGTGTGTTACTTCTCCTGCCAATTTAAGCAGGCATCCAACTCTCCTTCTAAGACGGAGAAAGGGGCGCTACATCAAATGTGTTTCTGTGATAAGGTCTCCTACATTCGGACAAGGAAAAGCCAAACAGAAATGGAGGTAGGATTTAATGTGTGTGATTCTGAGCCCTTTCCAATTTTAAAATGTTATTCAAAAAGCGAACTTTGAAACATGAGAAGCGCAGAGTAAACTTTGCTTAGAATCAAGAGGAGCTTTCAGTTGTGCAGCACCAAGGATGGGCCACGCCTGCCCAGCCAGTTCTCTCCTCCCTCCAGGCCTCCCCTCTGTCCCTCGTGCTATGCCCCTTCCTCTGGGAACTCAACTTTGTAAGCACAGAGAGCCCAGCGTCAGTGGCCTCCTTCTGGCTCAGCACTGATCTTGCTGACCCCTTGCAGTCACCCAGCTTCTGAGCTGCTTCCACTGCTCTCAGCTCCCTTCCTGCTCGCTTTCTGTTCATCCCTACACCACACCTCCAGCTGCCTTTCTGCTTTGGTCCCAGGAACGCTGGCTGCTGTCTTGAGAAATGAATGGTGCCCAGGCCTTTGTCTCTCTTCCCCTCCTCAGAAAATCTGGTTTTGCATCTGAATCCAGCTCTAGAGCTGAGATTTGTCCCTTAGACAGGTGCTGCCTAAGATTTCAAATAGTCCCAGTTCCTAAATTCCCAGTTCTCATTTTGCACTAGTAAAGGTTCACTCTGCATTCTGCCCACCTGCACAACTAGATTTCATCCCATCGCCTGAGTCTGAGTCACCAACAGGCTCTGTGCTGTGAAAACCCTTTCGAGATCCAGCACATCAAGATCACAAAACTCTTGCAACAAGAAAAACGGTTCTGTGACATTCAGGTCCCCTCGCACCAGAGACTGCTGCACTTCTAGGGCTAAGGCAGCCCTGGTCCCTTGGGTAGGATCAGTGGACAGGACCCCTGGGGTAAGTGGAGCCCCTGTCACTCAAGGGGGAAGCACAGAATACCATCTAGGGCACAGAACAGGACTCTAGATCCTAAAGCACAGCTCTGTTGTCACCTCTGCCCTGGTGACCTGCTTCTGTCTTCCTGCAGAGCGGAACAGGGCGCTCTGGATGGCCTGTGAAGGTATGAAGGGGGAACCTAGCCCCAGGCCTTACCTGCCAGGGCCAGGAGGCCTCCGATCACTCTCAGGAAGACAAGCATCTGGGGTCCGCAGAGGGCAAAGAAGGAGAGGATGAAACAGATGATCAGGATGATGAAGCCGCAGAAGAGCATGGCGACAGCTGCTCTTCCCCAAGCTGCAAAAGAGCAGGGCACAGAAATTAATACAACAGGCTTCCAGACTTAAAAACTGCTCATCAAATAGCAGTAGATTGGGGTTGTTTGCTTGTTTTTACAGCACTAGAGATCAAACCAGGGCCTTCACACTGATCTATTTCCCTTGCACAGCCACCCTCCTTTTAAAAAAATTTTGAGGCAAGGTCTTACTAAGTTGGTAAGTTGCCCTGGCTGGGCTCCAACTTGCGATCCTCCTGCCTCAGCCTCCCAGAGTTTGTTTTCCCAATAGTTAAGCTTCGGTGGAGCAACAGTTTTTGTTTGTTTTTGGTTTTTGGTTTTTTTGTGGTTGTTTTTTTTTTTTTTTTGCAGTACCAGGGATCAAACTCAGGACCTTGTGTTTTTGAGGCAGCCTCGGTGCCACTGAGGTAAATCCCCGGCCCAACAGTTTTTGTTCTGATAATTAATACTTAGACATATCTACATTTCAAGGGAAACTAGGCAATTCATGTGTAGGTAATAACCATATTGAGACACAGCAATAATTTTCTTGCTTTGGTTTTTTGGGCAAATGTTTACATCTCTCAAATGAAAGGTAAGCTACATTAAACCACTTTACATGTAATAAACTTGCTATATAAATAGGTTTATTTAAGTAAAAGATTCATGAAGTTTCTAACACAACACGACCATAATAAACACTCTTGGTACTGAGCAATTGAAATTCCAAGGAAATGTTTCAAATACCTTTAAGGAGCTTTGTTTCGTATTAATGTTTGATTTTGTGCAAAAATAACCATTGGAAGTAGCTATTTATGACTAGGCAGAGATGCTAAATAAAATAATTTAACTGTAGAGAAGAAACTAATTCTACAACATGTTTGGTAGCAAAAACCTTTCCAAATTTCTGCCTAAATTTTAATTTCTGAAGTATTCAGAATTTATTGCACAAGAGTGCATCACTATTGATCTTGGCTCTAAAAAAAGGGTTCAGTTCAGTGAGTTTCGCTACAGACATAGAGCTCTGCAACTGCCACCGCTCACGATTCCATGTTCATCACCCCTCCCTCAAAAACGTAAATAAACAAAAATGAAAACCCTTGTGCCCCAAGCAATCACTCCCCACTGGGCCTTACCACCTTTCTATCTCCACCTTTGCTATTCTGGACATTTCCCAGGAGTAGAACCACATTCTGCATGGCCTCTTGTTACTGGCTCTTTTCACTGACCATGGTGTTTTTTTGTGTTTTGGGGTTTTTTTGGTACCAGGGATCAAACTTGGGTCTGTGTGCTTGCAAGGCAGACAGTGGAACCACTGAGCTAAATCCCCAGCCCCAGCATATTGTTTTTTTAAGGATGGCCCATTTTATTGTATGAATTGGTATTTGATCCTTTTTGATAGCTCAGTAATATTCTACTGTGTAGACATCCCACATTATGGTTATCCCTTTATTTGTTCTTGGAAAAACATGCACTCTTAGCCTCTCACTCTTTATTGCATTTGAAAAGGACCCACATGTGCCCTTCTATCTGCTTTCAGTTCTATTCTAACACAGCACAGCTGGCAACATCCTCACTACCTCTGTCATTTGAGTGGTCAAAGTAGAACAAAGGCTCACAGGAAGACCGAGGGCTTGGGGCCAGCTACACCTGGTTCATCCCCTGGCTCTGCCACCCACCAGCCAAATGCCAGTTTCCTCATCTGTTGATTCGGGCTGCTATCTGTCAAAGTTACTGTGAAGATAAGCACTTGTGTGTAGAAATCATTACTTGTTAATTTCCAAGTCCTCACTGCTCCAAAGTTCCTCCTCTAAGTGAGGCATGGTGGTGCACAGGTGTAATCCGAGCACTCTGGGAGGCTGAGGCAGGAGGATCACATGTTCTAGACCTCCCTGTGCAATTTAGTGAGACGCTGCCTCAGAATAAAAAATGAAAAGGCTAGGGATGTAGCTCAGCCAGGGTTCAGCCTCAGTATGGAAAAAATAGTTTCCTCTACTCCTGTAACTTTTCTCCAGGACCTTATTTTCTTTATAGTCTACATTCCCAAGGTTCTGCACTGCCATATAAAGATTGTTCCTCAGTCATCTCTTTCTTCACCCATTTCAACAAATCCAGGCCAGGTTCCCCGTTCCCTGCAGCCCCACACTCCCTCCAGGGCTGCCTCTAGCTGCCTGAATGGTGCGTAAGCGATGATTCAGGAGGAGGAACATTTTAACATGTCTCAGAAACACTGTGTTTTCCCACAGTGAGGTGGTGCATGATTAGACCTTGTCTTTTGTTTTAGTTTTTATCACTTCCCTCCCAATCGCTGTGTTCTTCCTGACACAGCAATGAGAGATTTTAGGGATAAGTTTAACACAGGAAAGTTTTATTTTAAAATAGAAACTAATTAAAGCCAAGATGTGAAATTGAACAAGTCTCTTTACTTACTTTTGCCTTGTTCGGGAAACAAGGGAACTTTTAACAGAGAAGGGAACATGTTGAGCAGTGGCGCTTATTAAGAATGCAGATTCCTGGGGCTCCCTCCTGACCCACTGAACCAGGGCTTGAGAGATGGTGTCCAGGAATCTGCATTTTAGTAGCACTGTGTCTCTTACATTCATACTGAAGTTTGAGAACAGTAAGACAAGTGATGAAAGTCTTTATAAATAGATCCAGCACTGCCAAAAAGGAACACAGGGCTTCCAGTATGTGGCCCACTGTCAGTTACTACCTACTGGCTTTTGTGTGTGCAGCTACTGCCAGCCATTAAATTTAAATCCAACCATTTAATTCAAATAAGCAAAAACTTATTTTTCCTTTTTTTTCACAAGTTTGAAACTGTGCGATAAAAAGCAACATATCTATATATGCATAGAGGAACACAAACATAATGGAAATATATGATACAAGCAAAAACATCCTAACAAATATATTATACAGCAAAAACATCCTAACAAGAAACATATTTCTATAACCAAACTTTTACAATCACATTAATGTTTTAGAAGTCTAGCTATATATGTTATCTGTATCTATATCTGTATCCTATAAAGAATACTATTAATGATTTTACCTGTTTATTGAAGGAAAGCCAACGATTGTTACTACTGCTCTAACATTTTAGTTGAAATATAATTTATGGTCAGTCTCAGGTACTCGAAATTAAATAAATAAACAGTAACTAATTCACTTAACCTTGTCAATACGTGAACACACACACACACACACACACACACTCACATAATGGACCACTTTACAAACTTTTGCTATTAAATCAGTCCAGTTAATGTCTTGCTTATTTAAAATGCTGAGTCTTACGGAAATCAAAATGGAAAATTAAGCAACATTTTTTTTTTTGTCTCGAGAAAAGCTGCCTTTGTTGTGGAACGTGTAAAACCTGCTCCTGACAGCAGGGAGACACCCAGGATGAATCATTTAAGTATCATTTAGACTGAAATCTTGGCACGGTTTTACAGATCATAACTGATGAATGACAGGCCTGGCCTCCCCAGCCTGCCTTCTCGGGTCGACAGCGGCTTCGCTTTAAAATGAGATGAGCCGAGCAAGGCGCTCGCGGGCCAGGGTCCTGTCAGCCACTCAGCCGTCGGCCTAGTGACTCAGGAAATGCACACTGAAAGGCTAAGATGGCTTTCTCCCTACGTACCTTTGGTCTCACTTAGTTGCCCAGAATGAACCAAATATCTATAAACTTGCCCAGTCGTTTGAGAACTATTTATATTATACCATCCATGATCTAAATTACACCGTGTTACTAACTCCAAGGGAAAATGTCACTTTTATAAACTTGTCCCAAAGCAACTTTTTTCATGTTTTACCATATGACTCACAGTTCTTCAAAGGTGGGCTTCATCTGTATCTATTCTGAACACAAGTCTGCCCCTCATTACTGTTTTATGTATCAAATCTGACTCCGACTGCCTTTCCTATGTGTGTGTGTGAGGGGGAGGATTCTCACTGTGAACTGTCCTTCTCTGAATTGGGACCCAAAAGCATGCGGTAGTCCAGGTAAAAACAGATGTTGTGTTTCTGTGTAAGAATTTTTGTTTTCGTGAGGAAGATCAATTTGGTGTTGTACATATGTCCCAAGTTTGTATTATCAAAGAAACCAGCAGGATCACAAATACGAACAACAGCTGATCATCAAACTCATTAGGACAACTAATAAGAAGAAATATAAATAACTCAAGGGATGAACTAAAGCTTGTAAAAATAAGCTTGTAAAGAATAAATAAACTGGACAAGGAAATCGTTGCTAATATTCCTAATTTGCTGGTAACCCTGTGGAGATCATCACTGATTTCCCCCTAAAGTTTGAGCTTATTTTCCGGGATTTGCTGGCTTCTTCAGGAGTTTTACACGTAGGCACCAAACAAACTGCAACAACCTGTGCTCAAAGCCTTGAAGTCACCAATATGCCCCCCGGCTGGGGCTGATCCCTCTGCAGAACAAGGGACTCGTCCATCAACAACCCCAAAGGCCTCACCCAAGCAGTCTAGTCTTATCAGATTTCTTCATATTGTTTCTACAAGGTTCTTTGTACCACACACAGGCAGAACTGAAAAGTGGACAAAACATGGTCTAAGAAGTAAAAAGATCTGACCTACAAATAAATATAAGCCGGGGCGGGTCTCTTACAAACCACTGTCTGGCCTATGCAATGAGGATGGAATCTCCAGGGGACCCTGGCAAAACGCAGTTCTGGTTCAGTAGGAGAAGCCGGAGACTGAATGTCCGGTAACCTCCCAGATCCCACAGGTGTTGCTGATCTTTGATGTGCGGAACAGCAAAAACCCAAAGGACAGCTGAGTGCGCCTGCCAGAATCTACACAGGAAGAAGCCGAGCTCCTGCAGAAGCTCAGGAAGGCAGTGAGGAAGGCTCTGAGGAGGGCAGCAGGGTGGGCAGGCACCAAACTACGGGTGTGAGGCCGCTGAAGGCTCCACTCTTTCTCCTGCAACCTGGCCAGCGAGCGCTAACCCGGTCTAATCAGCAAGTGGAGAAACTATCTTGCAAGGGAAGAGATGGGAAGAGACCCTGCCTGCAAGCAGCATTTTGGGATCCACCCTCCAATATCTGAAAGCAGTCAGAGGAAGAAGGAGGATGGAAGGGAGGGGTTCCAGGGAGCACTTCCCAGCTCTTGAGTGAGGCTCAGGTAAAGGACTGCAGGGCCTGGAATAGAATTCAGTTGCCAAACCGAGGGAAGCAGTAAGGAGCAGAGAGCTGTGCTTCTAACAACACAGGAGTCCAATTTTACAGGGCAAAGACAGGTCACCAAGAAGGGACCGAAGCACTCTGGTGGCTACTGCTCAGCGCAGCAAATGTCACTGGCTACTGGGCTTCTAGATTTCATAACCAATATATATTTTGGGTTAGTACCTCAGCAGAGGGGTAACTTGTTAATTTGCTGTGTGAGGATGTGCACACACATTTGCAAACACATAAAGAGTTCTCTACTGATGCCTAATCTCATAAAGTCGGAATGGTTTCTCATCTTACCTCAACACACTCCACCAGAAGCCAAAAGAGTATGATCTCAAAACAAAGCCCTTTGAAGTTGAATTTAGTCTACATGTGGACTTTGCATATATTTTTTTATTTCCTGTACTTTTAAGAACCATAAGATTTAATGGCCTAAAAATATTTCAGATAATATTGATTCTTTAACTTGTCCAAGAGTGATTTCGTGTAAAAATAAAATACTAGATATATTCTGTCATAGTCAAAGGGTGTCTTTGGTGAAAAAAAAATCAGGCTGTGAACTTCTGAGTTCAGATTCAAGGCACTGACTTTCTGCTTTCCCTCCTGTTCTCAACCCTCAACTCATCTCCATTTGGCTCTAATCTAACAAGCTGAAGCTTGCCTGGTATTTACGTATCCTTCCTTAAAACCAGAAGGAAGGTATTGGCAGTAGGATAGCAGCGTGGGCACGTATTCAAGTTTAATTCTGCATTTATTTACATTTCATAATCATTTCACTCATAAGTCTAGATTTTCATTTCCTTCTAGGAGAATATAAATTAAAAACTAACAGGTATCTGTTAAGCAAGGTGTTAACTTAGCTATGATCATCGTGTAAAAGAAAATATTCAGAGCATAATTTGGGTCATTTTACAAGTGAAAATGAGGTGATTTGGTTATCTGAAGTTCTTGAAAAACAATAGTGGTGAAAAATATATGTAATAGTCTATTTTTCACATTCGTGGTTCTAAGGAAGTATCAATACTTGCCAGGAATAACTTGTCTTTACTGACAAAATGAAGATATTAATGTTAGAAATATCACCCAGTAAAAGAGATGATCACTTTGTAACTGAAGGTCTACTTTCTTAATAGTAACAATAGTAAATCAAAATAGTTCCTAGTAAACATCAAGAGGTTTCTTCTTTTAATTGGGTGCACATACTCAAGCTCTACACTGAGATGTCATTCTAATCAGATCTATCCACCTTACCTCTTGTTACAAAAGACACCGTGTGTGTAAATATGTGGGAGTGCAGGAACTGCTTATTGCATTTTTGATACAGCGACCTCATGTACACAGTTTTCAGCAAACCCTTATTGAGGCTATCTAAAAATCGATGGAATCCAGAGGTGCCTAAATAATTACCCTGTAGCGTAGGAGTACATAACTCCTACACTTGTGCAGCAAAATTGGCCAACAGCCCATGTCGGAGATGGGGCAGAAGAAGGATAAGGACTTGAACTCACTTGGTCTAGAAGGGCTGGAGGGGACCTCTTGGTGGCTTTAGCTATCAGGGTCCTCCTGTAGCCATTCTCCAGCCTTTCCTGGATGGACGATTTGATTTAGGTCCTGACCAGGGGTTGAGTCTACCGCATAAGCTTGCACTTAGCCACCTTCACAAAGGTAACAGGGGTAGCTTGCGATGTTACAGCCACCACTAACAGAAAATCAGGTTTGTTTTTCACACAGGTAACAACAGATGTTTCAAACTGAGCCTCTCCAGAGGCTGATTTTTGAAGAAAGTCAGAACAAACTACACACTGGATCCATGTTTTCTTTACAAAAAAGATTAATGTTTTAGACTTCTAATTAAAAAAAAAAATCCAACTAGAAACAAGCCCCATTTATTCCCTTCCATACACAAAGTAGTACATTAATTTGAAGTTGGAACTGCCACACCCTAAAAAAGGTGAGCTCACCCCACAAGGGAAGACACATTAAAAAGGTATTTTGTGTGCGTTTCCCAAGAGGGCGTGGTTACAGCCCAGGCCCTGCAGGCCAGATCGGTCCGGGCAAGAGTGCTGAGCTCAGCCCTGCCTGCTACTCGGGTGGGTGATTGGTGCTGCAGGAACCTCCTCAGTGTGGTATGGATGATGCAGTTAGATGATTTCACAGTAATTAGTACTGAAAAGAAAATTAATTCCCTCTAAAAGCCTGGAAGACTTGGGATAATACAAACCTTGGAAGGCTGAGTGTTTGTATGGTGTGTTTCCAGAGAACAAAAAAGACAAACTTGAAGAAAGAACTCCCTGGGGTCTTTCCATTTTATTACCAGCCTCATGAGGACCCTGCCTCTCTTCAGGGAAAGTTGATGGTGGGACCTTCCAAAGGAATCCTCGATACAGAGAGGAGCAGAGCCTGGCCCAGAACCACAAATAAATGGACTTGGTTGGAAGACCCGGGATACTTTCGGGGAAAGATCAGGCCAATGTGAATGCAAGGAGTGAAAAACACACGGACCGCTTTCCTTAAAACTCTAAAACTCGGCTGACAAAGCCTCATTTGGCCTTAAGCTCTGCACACACACACTGCTGACCACAACAGACTCGGGCTGTTATTTATACCACCCCGGGCTGGGCGGGGAGGGCTCCCCTTGTGACAGGAATGCATTTCCGACAGGAATCACTGCGGCTACCAACAAGTGGGCCACAGACGCCTTAGATGTGAGAACGGTGCCTCCCTTCGCCGCCGCCGGTGCAGAGGTGTTTGCTTTTTAGACTTCAAACCAGACTCAATGACATAGATTTCTACACCTGGGCCACACCTAAGCCAAAAAGGCACTCCTAGAACAAGAGCTGGCATCGACGGGTCAACACCGAAGGCTCGGCCCGGACCCCATCTGCCGAAACTTGTCCCGGAAGGGCTTTCTTCACGGGCCGGGGTGGGGTGCTTTCACTTTGATCGAGTTAAACGAATCCACTCGTGACTACATTTTAATCATAAGAAGACCCAGAGGAGGAAGAGGTGTGGGAAGGCATTTCGGTAGGCTTCCGAGACAGACAGACTTTGTTTACCGAGCTGAGCCTCGGTAGTGGCTGAGATCTTAGCGGGTAACCCAGTCTCCCCAGGAACGTGGTTGGAGGAGGCCGTTTTCTTTCGGTTTTGAGCCCGGTGGTGGCCACCCAAAGCTGCTGCTTCCTTTGGTTCAAGTCGGACGCAAGGCTTACACCCTAAAAGGCACACACACACACACACACACACACCGGCCTGCGCCCCGGCGCTCACCGTAATGCATGAGGCTCTCGCAGCCCTCGGCGGAGGAGCCCGTGCCGCCGTGCTCGCTCACGCATTTCCACCACAGCGACGACGTCTGCACGTGGGTGTCTGACTGCAGCCACCCGCGGCCGGTCAGCGCGATGATGTCGAAGGCGATGGCGCTGAGCAGCAGGAGCGGCAGGATCCAGCGGCAGCGCTCGCAGGCCAGGCCGCAGCGCAGCATCTCGGCGGGCGGCGGGGAGAATGCCCGCGAGCGCGCCGCGACAAAAGGGGCTCCGGGGCGGCTCCGGCCCCACCTCCCGCGGTGACTCAGGCCCGCTGGACCTGCCCGGCCGGCTCCGGTTACACTGCGAGCGGGCGGGGCCGGGCGGGGCCTGGCGGGGCTCCCGGGCCGCCCGCACCTCCTCTCGGCCGCGTCTCTGCCCCTTGGACCCGGCTCCCGGACTCCTGGGTGCGCGCGCCGGGCCTTCCCACGGGTTGGAGCTCCCGTGTGGTTTATCGGTGTGGCCCTGGCATCCAGCACCCAGTCTGGGCCATCAGAGAGCTCAGTGACTTTAACGGACGAACACATTCATTCATTCATTCATTCATTCATTCATTCATTCGAGACAGGGTCTCGCCACGTAGTTCAGTCTGGCCTCAAACTCCCAGGGATCCTCCTGGCTCAGCCTCCAGAGCGCTGGGATTTGGCACTGGGATTCCGGCGCAGCGCTGAGTTAATTGAGCGAAAGCAGGCTGTTCAGTCCTGGGAGCCGCATCTGGGCGACCCAAGGAATGTCACGTCGTCCCTGCTGCGTCCAGCCCCCGTTCACACAAACCTCTAGCTAGTTGAACCCCACCTTGTCTACTCATTACTATTTTTGTTTCTCCAAATAAAAACCTTGGGTCAGCTCGCAGCGGGCTCCTAGGAGCCGGCTGTCTCCCCGGGGACTCCTCAGGTGTGGCCCGGCGGGCGCGGGGGGGCGCTCGGGGGCGGCAGGTCGAGTGGGCACCCGGTGGCCTGGGGCGAGGAGGCGACCTCCGGAGCGACGCAGCTCGCCCTGCCCTCGGCGGGTGACCCTGGTGCCTGCGTTTCCATTAATTTGATATAAAAGAAACGGGAAATACTTGACGTTTCACACGTAGTACTGTAGTTCAGTTCGGGATTCCCAGTTAGAAACGCGACACTGTTTCGTCTTCTGCAGTTCTCTGGCCATTTTTCAGCCTGAAGTAAATGTACCTAGGAGGTGTGCAAAACGGCACGGAATCGTTGGCGATAGCCTTCGTTTTATGCAAACCGAGTTCACATAAATATTTACCTCTTTATTAAAGTTAAATATTTTCCCGTTCAAAGGTTAGCACCAAGCTGTATTCTGCCAGAAGACAGCTACGTGCTTGGTAGACGAAGAAAATTACACCTGTGCTGAGGGTTTTTCAGAGCAATGAAAGTGGGCCTTTAATTAGCTGTGTATAAGGTATCTGTGGGGAGAAAAGTGGATTCTTTGCAAATCATGATAGAGTACTGGTCATAAGCAAAGTAATCTCAAACGAAATGAGTTTCACTGGTGTCTTGGCATCTGAGTAATTTTAGAGTAGATATAACTTGCGGCGAGGCGGGGGGGGGGTGTCATGTACTGAGGATTGAACCAGGGAGCACTGAGCAACGCCCCTGCCCTTCCTAAGTTGCCCAGCCTGGCCCCCAACTCCAAGTCCTCCTGCTTCAGCCTACCAAGTAAGTAGCTGGGATTATAAGTGGGCACCACCGTACCCTGGCTGAGTTAATTTTTGTGCCTCAGTTGCTTCATCTATGAAATGGATTATGTTTACCCCATATTCTCGTCGGAAATCTTGAAGCTAATGTGAAGAAAGTGCTCCGCTAGTACCTGGGCATAGTAAGCCATGATTTAAGGGTGTGGATAATGAGGGCGAGAATGACGATTTCTACGTTTTCCACTTTAATATGATTGAAGGAGGGTTTCAGGTTAGCCATGTACAAAATGACGGCGCAAAGTGAAAGGTAGGCAGTTGGCTAGCTCCCTCTGCTGGAATAGAGAGGGATTGCAGAGCATTTGACAAAAATATAACTGAACCTGGGAAGCTGTTTAAAAACAGAGAAATGACTGATGTTTCAGCGCACTGCCATCCTCTTCATCTGGGCCAGGAGCCTGAGGCACAGAGAGGTGGAGAAGAAAGGTCACACAGCACAATGTTTCTTCCTCAGGGAGCCTCTCCTGAGCCCCCCCGCCCCGACAGTGACGGCCCCATTACATGTGCTCAGGGCCCTGTGTGTCTATCCTTCAAAATCTCCTTCATAGAAAGTTAATTACACCTTTAAGGATTCAAACAGGTGTGCTTTATTTGCCAAATAAAAAACAAACATTAGAACAAAATTTTCTTCCCTTTATTATTAGTTCCTGCATATTTTACACAATACTGGGTTCAGTGTATATATTTTGCTCATATCCATCTCCCTATTTCCCCTTTTACCCTTATTCCCTCTCCCCCTTATTCCTTTCCTCTTGTCTAATAATAGTCTCCTTTCTACTTTCATGTCATCTTTTTTAGATTCCTCATATTAGGGAGAATATGCACTATTTATCTGAGTCTGGCTTATTTCACCCAACATAATGATCTCCAGATCCATCTATTTTCCCTCAACTGACAAAATTTTGTTCTTCTTTATGGCTAATACTCCATAGGGTGTATCTACCACATTTTCTTTCAACGCTCATCTGTTGACAGATACCTAGGTTGGCCATAGTGAACTGTGCCACCATAAACAGGGTGATGCAGGTATCCCTCCCTACAGCAGGGATGGCGAATCTATTAGAGAGCAAGAGCCCAAACTGCAACCCAAGCCCACTTATTTATTGCACAGTGCCAACACTGCAATTAAACCTGAATACTGAGTTTTTAGTTTAGAAAAACAAGCCTACATTAACATCTTTTGTCTTAAAAATATATATATACCATAGGTCCACTATCACTATCCTAGTATGCTGACTTTAATTCCTTGTGGTATATACCAAAGAGTGGTGTAGCTGGATTGAATGTTATTTCTACTTTTAGTTTTTCTGGGAACCACCATATTGATTTCCATAGTGGCTTCTAATTTACATTCCCACCAGCAGTGCAGAAGTGTTCTTTTCTCCCCATATCCTTACCAGCAGTTATTGCTTTTTGTAGCCTCCACAGGCATTCTGTCTGGGGTGAGATGGAATCTCAATGTAGTTTTTATTTGTACTTCCTTAATGGCTAAAGATGTTGAACATTTTTACTATACTTATTGGCCACTTGGGCCAATACTTCTTTTGAGAAGTGTCTGTTCAGTTCATTTGTCCATGTATTGACTGGGCTATTTTATGATTTGGGGTTAAGTTTTTTGAGTTCTCTATATACTCTAGATATCAATCCTCTGTCAGAAGAGTAGCTGATAAAGATTTCCTCTTAAGGTCAACATTGAACCTAACCATTGAATTTGATTCAATTCTCATCCAATTCATTTTGAAACCAGAATGGTGGAAAGAATTAAGTTCATGAACTGAGCTACCACTGTATATATTTTCTTCAGGACTTTTCTCATTAAGGGATGTTGAATTTTGTCAAAGACTTTTTCTGCATCAATTGAGATATGATTTTTATCCTTGATTCTATTTATTTGGTATGTTACATTTATTGTTTATTGATTTGGGTATATGGAGCCATCCTTGCCTTCCTGGAATGAAATCAAGTTGGTCATAGTGTATGGTCTTATTAATGTGCTGCTGAATGTGGTTTGGCAGCATTTTATTTAGGACTTTTATATCTATGTTCAACAAAGATATTGGTTTATAGATTTGCTTTTGCTGTTGCTGTTGTGTCTTTGTCTACTTTAGTTATCAGGATGAGGTAGGAATGAAGTTGGAAGTTTTCCTTCTCTTTCCATTTCATGAAATAGCTTGAAGAACATTGGTGTTAATTCTTTAAAGATCTGGTAAAATTCTTCAGTGAACTGATCTGGTCTTGAGATTTTCTTTGTTGGGAGATGTTTTATTACTGTTTCAATCTCATTGCTTGTTATTGCTCTGTTTATCTTGATTCATTTTTGGTAAGTTATATGTGTTTAGAAATTTATCCATTTCTTGTAGATTCTCCAGTTTATTAGAATATAGGCTTTCAAAGTAATCCAAATAATCCTATATTTCAGTGGTGTCTATTGTAATATCTCCTTTTTCATCTCGAATTGTGTTGATTTAGGTCTTCTCTCTCCTTTGGTAAGATTGGCTAAGGGTTTATCAATCTTGATAATCAATTCAAAGAACCAACTCTTTTTTCCATTGATCCTGGTATTGTTCTTTTAGTCTCCATCTCAATAATTTTAGCTCTGATCTTCATTATTTCTTTCCTTCTGATGGATTTGATTTGGCTTTGTTTCTATTCTTCTAAGGCCTTGAGATGCCTTTCTGATTTTTTATGTAAGCACTCATAGCTGTAAACTTCCCTCTTAAAACTGCCTTTGCTAAATCTTAGAAATTCTGGTATGCTGTGTTTTTATTTCACTTGATTCTAGGAATTTTTTATTTTCCTCCGTGATTTGTTCAATGATACACTGATCATATAAAAGTGAATTGTTCAATCTTCATGTGTTTAGTTTCTGTGATTTGTCTCTCTTGATTTCTACTTTCATTCCACTGTGATCTGATAAGAAATTATTCAGCTTTTTTGTATTTGTAAAAACATTTTGTATCTGTAAGAAATTATTTCAAATTTTTTGTACTTTTGAAGGCTTGATTGTGGCCTAAAATATGATCTATTCTGCAGAAAGTTCCATTGGCTGCTGAGAATGTTTGGTTGGAATATTCTGTAGATATCTGTTAAGTTCATTTGATCTATAATGTAATTTAACTCTGATGATTCCTTGTTGATTGGGTGGGGGTCCTGCATGGCCTATGTATTAGTGAGAATAAAGTGTTGAAGTCATTCCTATGATTATATGGGGACCTATAATCTCTTTATGTCAAATACTGTTTATTTTATGAAATTGAGCACACTTAAGTTCACTCCATATACATTTACAATTGTTATAACTTCTTGGTGGATTGTTCCCTTTACCAATATGTGGTGGTCTGCTCTGTCTCATCTGACTAATTTTGTCTTGAAGTCTGCTTTGTCAGATATAAGTATAGCTACTCCTGCTTTTATTCAGTTTTTGTTTGCATGGAATATTGGTTTCTATCCATTTCCTTTCAGTCTGTGCATGTCTTTGCTAGTGAGATGTGTTTCTTGCAAGCATCAAAGAGTTGGG